TGTGTGGTAAAATTTGTTTCTCACAGTCTAAAAATAACAAATCTATTCGCTCTCTATTTGTAAATCAAGTTGTATCTAAACCTTGCTCTATTACATATTGGAATAATTTTGTAAATATTCCTAAATGGGAAAGTATTTGGTCATTGCCTCACAAATTTTTGGTTACAAATAAGATAAAAGAAATATCTTTTAAACTAATTCATAAATTCTACCTGGTTAAACATTTTCTCAGTAAATTTAAAAAGGATATTGATATAAATTGCTCTTTTTGTTCTTTGTATTTGGAAACTCTACCCCACCTTTTCTGGCACTGTGGTTATGTTAAAAAGCTCTGGTATGATGCTTCTGTTTTTATAAAGAAAAGGTACTCTTTAACTTTAATTTGCATTATGAAACTGTAATTTTTGGGTATTTTAATTATGATAATTTGAATAATGAAGCTTTTGTTATTAACCTATTTATTTTGCTAATTAAGTTTCATATTCATAAGTGTAAATTTTCCAACAAAAAACCTTGTTTTACTGTGTTTTATAAGGAACTGAAAAATTACTTTTGCACTATTCAGCATAGTGCTAATCGAAAGGCCATTAAAACTGTCCAGCTGTGCTCTAGTTTTAATATTTTTGATTAATGTAAAGGTCCTGCTAGTTTATATTTGTAAGAATTTTTAGTTAAGTATTTATACTCTTATTTTTATGTTTGTTTTATTTTATTTTATGTATTGTTGTTATCATTTACTTTCTATCACCCTGGCATTGTTTTGTTTGCTGTATTGTCATGTATATGTTGTTTAAAGCATAAAAAATAAAAAATAAAAAAAACTGATGGGCATTTTAGTTCTGTAAGCTGGACTGTTCGTTTTCTCCTTTTCTTTGTATTTTTCTATTTTCCAGCATTCATTTGCTCCATTACTGCCGCTACACGAATGATTATTATCCAACGACCTGAGGAGATTCTGTGCATTAAAGACTTGTGAATAGCAAGAAATGTGGATGATGTGTGGAGATGATTGAAAGTGGACGCAACTAAGCAACAAAGTTCAGTTAATGAGGAAGGAGTATGTGCCAAAGTTTGCGTACTCTTCTGTTACACACTCAAATGTATGTACTTTTTAGGGCTGCAATTAACAATTATGTTACATCTCGCAGCCAAACACGTTGTAAAACTACAAACAATGGCGCTGATGAGAGCGATCGTGGTGAATGTTGATCGGCCAGCAGAGATCTATTGAGTGTTTTCAATAGTGGATATGTGGATATTTCAATATGGTGGATCAGCTGTTTAATGGTCTGAATCTCAATGCGTTGCATTCACTGCGTGTTCAGCGCAAATGGCAGCTAAATGTAAAATCTAACACTGTACACATCATTAAATAAGTTTACCTTTACTAAGTTTAAACTGAAACTGCGGCTCATGACAAAGAACGGTGTTGTGCAGGTGCATGGGTCCCGCTCATATTTTAGGTCGGCTGACTCCTGCTTTTTTCCACAACCAAAACGTTTAAAGAGTAGTAGAAGTGAGACTTTTCTTCCTTTCGTTTGTCTGCTCTTTCATTTATGTTTCTATTTAGTTACTGATGACTGCTTTGCAGCTTTCAGCATTGAATTAAATGATTATAATCTTACGTTTGTTTTGTAGCAGAAATATTATTTCTTAAATTGACATGCATATAAAAACAATAGTGCTAAATCTATATTTCTTACTGCAATGCTTCATTTTAGTTTGATGCAAACCGCAGATTTATTTGTCATAATGTAACAGTACTTTTGATAGCAGATAACACTTTCAAGCACATTCAAGGCAGCATATTGAAACATGCAATTCATTGTTACTATTATTGTCGTCATCATCAATAATATATTCTATAATTATTAGACATTCAGTATCATTTATTCAATTTGCAGTGGTGCTCATTAATTTTTTTGTGGGTGCTCCTAAATTTTTGAAGTTGGTACTCGGGAGTACCGGTGCTACCAAGTAGGGATGCACTGATATAAATTTTTTGGCTGATACCGATAACTCTTCAGACTTGGAGGCCAATATGTATGAGCCGATAATTATAAATATTTTAAAATGTTATATTTTTATAACATATTCAAGTGATGTACACATGTACAATGTAATGTCCGAAAATGCCTTTTTTAGAGGTGTTTTGACAGTTCAGAGCCACCTTATAAGCGAAAAGCTAAATACAGATAGTATTACTTTAGAAAATGTGGCATAGATTCATCCTATTTGGCGTTTTAGATTCTTTTGAACACATGTAGCTGCTGCTTGTCAATCAGACAACGCTTCTGTGCTCGTTCTTGCTATCAATTGCGGGGAAAATGATTGATGAAAAGTTTATGATAAAACGCTGTGGGGTTCACTCAATTGCAGGCGCTAACAAACACAGTGCAAAGAGAATATGCGGCGAGTTGAGAGCCCCTCTCCTCTGTGCTGATCTGAAGGCTGTCAGATCAGTGTGTGTGTGTGGGGTGACATGCAGCCCTCACGCGCGCTCGTTATAATCAATATGAATATTGTGATCAAACTGAATACAATCTTACATCAACAACACATGGCAAGCAACGCGTTGATAGTAACAAATAATTATATTACAAACAACCCAACGAATTGTTAAGCACGTATGCATCTCTGCTATTATGTTTGCACATGTAATATTTTTTCCTGAGGCGATTTAAATCAAAATACACAACGCCACTCAATCAAACATGTCTACAATGATAAGGAACATGGTTAATCACTGAGTTATTAACACACAGCAATACCACATGAAGAAATGATGGACTCTAATGGAATAATCAATGTGAGGAGAGATCTATTATAGTGCACTGGACAAGTCTAAACAAGTTTCTTAACAATAAAAAGTTATGTGCTGTATTAATTGGTTACTAAGCAGCAATAAACAACACTTTAAAACATAAGGAGTTTTCATCTGATTTCTAAACTAGTAGTTTTGAAATTAATAAATGCATCATAATCGTGATAACCCTGAATAGTTCTCTGACTATAATCATACAATCAAAGTCTATAATCGTTGCATCCCTAATCTTGGATGACTAGGGTCGCACAGATTTCTCTGCCTTCTCCGCTTTCCTCTTAGAGCTGTAATAGCTCGTTTCCACTGACTGGTACAGTACGGTACGATACGGGTTGATACGGCTAACCTTTATCAGGCTTGCGTTTCCACTACCAAGGGTACCCTTTTGTTGGGTGTGGTGTACGTTAGAAAGTTTCCGTCGCATCATTCTAGCTCGAGAAAATGTCTACAATAAAGCTGTACGGGTCGCTCACATATCATATGAGAAGCACTTCTCACAAAACAGACGCTTTACACACTTAAATACTTGTGTATAAATGTTTATTATTAACCTTTCTATGAACAGGATTTGATTATAACTGCAGATCAATGATGTCTGTAATTATAATAATAATAAATAAATGAACATATATGAACACATACAGACCCTTACAGTCTCCGATATGTTACCAACTACAGAAAAACTACACACGGCAGACATTTAGTCCTTATTTAGGTTCAATACAGGACAAAGTATAGGCTACAATCAGTGCAAACCTCTCATCTGTGTCTGTAATCTTCACCAGCACATGTAAACACTGTTAGTCACTCCATCATTCCCAGTTCATATTAGTCCAAAAGGTGATTATACAAATAAAAACAAAGCAGTTTGTTTATGTTTGCTGAAGAAATAACGTGCTCCTTTTTTCCGGCTTCTCCTTTGTTTTTTCCGCGATTCACTCTCGCTTTTGTCAGTATCTGACAGGTTTGGGTTTCAAAATCACGTCAATAATCAAGCGCACGTTATTATCATCAGCTCAAGAAGTTTGTTATGTCAGATATAGACGCGCGGCGAGCGCATGCAAGAAAGGCTACGAAACACAAACTAACTACGAGGCACAGGGTAAATCTGCTCTACTGCATGGCTTTGTGGCTGTTCATCAAGATGACGACAAGGTTTGTTTGAGCTCGGATCGACCATGGCTCGTTATTATATGGATATATAATTCCGCTGTAATCTCCCGCTGTTTATTTTAAACATGGCGGCTCTTTTGTTTTCATTCTGGCTTGTTGCATAAGCGAATGACATTTCTCTGTAAACCAATAGCGCTCGGCTGCGCGTCTAGCTCCGCCTTTTGGTACCCTTTCTCGTGTTCAGTACCCTTTCGAAATGGTGCCGAAAAAGTGGTACGGTTCAGTTCGGTATGCCTTTTGACAGTGGAAACGGCCATAAAAGCGAACCAAACTGAACCATACCATACCGTACAACTCTGTGGAAACGAGCCGAAATGCACTCCAGAATCTGACAGATTGATTAGCTGTGGGCTCTAGAACAGTTAAATGTTGTCCTACAGTGTTCTGCCTGCATTTCATAATTAGCCTTGCATTTTTCTAACACAGACTATGAAGAAGATTTCTATTCTCTCAGTGTGAAGTATTTTCTAAGTGTAAAGCAGTTCATTTTCTCTTCACAAAATGTATGTAGTGTTTGCAGCAAACATGCCAGCCTGTGTTAAAAATACAGTGATATGTCTGTGTAAGATGAGTATGCCTGCTCAGGAGCAACACTAGGAGAAGGCTGAGTGACTGATTGTGTAGAATAACTGAATATGTAAAGCACTGATTATATATGTTAAATACTTGTATGAAGCTATATGTGTCAGAAGTTGGAATGAGTAACATATTATCAAGTTATTATCCTATCATGACAATGTATGTAAACACTTAATCCTTTTGCATAAGTTGCATCTATGGAGAGAGAACTTTGGTGTCAAAACAGTTGCTGACACAGACCTGTAACATCTGTTGACATGAGCTAGTGGGCTGAGAGCCAAGAATAGCAGGACCCCTTAGACTAAAAACCTATTCAAAAATGGTCAAGAGTTAAAAAGAGACTTAGGGGTGTGTCAAATAATCCTGTATAAAAATTGTAACAAACACACTGAAAGTTTAGAAGGTGCAGGAGAGACTTCAGAAGGTGTCCAGGAGAGACTTCACGAACGGGTGACACTGGACATGCTGGGGCTTGGAGGAAAAACACAAATATGTGGCCACGATAAAAAACGGTAAGCAATTTTAAGCTTATACATTTGTGTTTTTTCTGCCAAGGACCTGCTTGTAATGGTAAAAAGTCACTTGAACTGTTTCTCCAGCTATAACGAACTACAAGTAAAACTAAAAAAGTAAAGATATGAAAGGAAAACAATGGGGTTTTGAATACCAGGAGAAAATAACAATTTGCATGCAAATGATCTGTGTTTTCCTAAGAGGGCCTTGACGGAACGTTAACTAGTAACTGTTACTCATGTTTGGGAAATTTTTTAATAATGAAGAATATGCATAGAGCATTTTTAAGTTTTAAGAGGAAGTTCTTAAAGTGTGGTGACAGTTAAGAGATTAAAACAGATTAATAAAGTAGAGAGAAGCGCGCAAAGACCTCGGAGTACCCGTTCTGTTTTAATAATAATAAATATTATTATGCAGGAGGCTGGGGGAAAAAAGGCACAAATCCTGTGAAGTGCTATTTTTTACTGAAGAACAGTAAAGACGGGAGCAGAAGTAACAGGTCACTCAAGAGGAGTGTAGTGTAGTGTATTTATGTAATTGTTAGTATTTGTGTATTTGTCTGTGTTGGACTGAAGATACTGGTATGCAGAAGCTACCACCTTTGCTCTAGAGAGACTAGAATAGAGGTGAGGGTCAGGTTACACAGTGTAAGAGATAAGTTAGAACGAGTGAGAAGTATGATTGTGTTTAGAAGTATGTTTGCAATAAGAGTGAGTTTAAAAGATTTATCGTTTTATATTATAATATAAAAGAAGGACTGCTTATGTTGTGTGATTTTATGAACAATAAGATAGAGAGTGATGCAGTTGAGGGAAGATATTGTGATACAAAGGAGGATTAAGCCTCATGAAATGAATTGAGATCATATTGCATTTGAAAGACACAGACTGAAAAGAAGAATATACAACATTTTTCTGAATAATCTCTGTGTGTTTGAAGTGTTTTTAAGTATGAACTAGGCAGAGAGGGGACTGAAATTCCTGACATGTCGACAGTCTGGAAGAAGGTCTGCTTCAGGAGTGGTAAGAATCTGTTTATTTTAAGAACAAAAGTTTCACAGGACAGATAGAAGCTAAAGAGTAAAGATATATTATAAGGTATTAAATAAATAGAAATTACTACTAATTACTACTACTACTAACTACATATGGATATAAATTGTTAAATTGATAAGGAAATAAATTTACTAAATCAGTATAAATAAAAATAGATGAGTTAGTTCTTTGATAGAGAATAAATTAGAAGAGAAAAACTTTGATGAATATGGATTAATTGCAGAGTTAATGATCAAATGTTTAAGGAAAATAAGTTTAAAGAAAAATGAATTAGGAAAATCTAAGAGACAAAAATGCTAATTTTTGAAAAGGAAAAGAAGCATAGGAAAATGGAGAAAAAAAAAGTCCAAACATTGTTTAATAGAATAAAAAGAGAAGATGTTTAAAAATATATATTAAACAGATAAGATAAAAATTAGAAAAAACAGTAACATTTTGAAGAAAACAAGATTTGGCTTTAAAAGATAAAATTATGTTTAAGTGCAATAAAAAATTGTTGTGGAGTAAGTTGACTGTTGTCATCTGTTTTAAAGTCAGCTACAGGCTGTCATCTGAGCCAACAGCTATTTGTAGTAAAAGCAGTGAGTCAGATGTAAAGCATAGACACTGAGGAGAAATGAAAGAACATAATAGTGAGGTCAAAAATTATATAGTTAATATTTTATGTACCTAAAAAACTAATTTAAAATCAAAAATTGCATTTCAGATTGGAAAAATGCTTAAAGTAAACAAACATTTAGAGTTAAAATAGCACTATGAACTTGAAGCTATTGCAGTAAGGATTTTGAACAGTTATATTAGACATTAGGCCACCATATAGTACTGTTGAATTAAAACAGGTATATGGAAATGTTAGAGAAATTAAAATAATGTAAGATGTAATGTAACTAGTGAGGAAGCACTAGAATAAATTAGGAAAAATAAGTGAAGCACAATCTGAAGCCAAAGAAATTAATTATAAGAACATTTAACAAATAGAAAATTAAGCATATTTACATATGATAAAAATGATTGAGAATTAAAGAAAATAAGTTGTTAAACAGTAAACAAAAATAGATAAATAAATAAATTAATTTATTAAAAAAATGGATAAAAGGAGTCTTTATTTGATGAAGGAAAAAATGGGAAAAAAAAAGTTATAGTTGAAGTTATAGTTGACTATAGTTGAAGTGTTTGGAAGTAATTCACATTTTCCTCCTGTAGAAAAACATCATAAGAACAGTGTTTAGTGGCTCAATGTGTTACAGCAGTTGATGAAATTGAATGAATGAAGGAAAATAGTTTGGGCAAATATTCAATATTTATATAAAGACGGTGACTGGAAGATCGGTGTACCTTGCTGAAGACTGAAATAATCGTGATTTTATAGTTGTTGTCTGCTATCATTTGTTTATATCACTTAAATAAAATGCTGTCTTTTCATATTTATTTCAGGCCTGATGGAGGAGACACACTATGTTAAAATGAGAGAAAAAACTCACTCACCGAAGAGAAAAGACAGAAAACGTGTCACCTGCACTCAGTGTGGGAAGAGTCTGGCAAACAAAGAGAATCTCAAGAGCCACATGAGGATCCACACCGGAGAGAAACCATTCACATGTTCTCAGTGTGGGAAGAGTTTCAGAGACTCATCAGCCCTTAGTAGACACATGTTGATCCACACTGGAGAGAAAACACACAAGTGTGATCAGTGCGGAAAATCATTTCTGTTGGCTTTAAGCCTGAATGATCACCTTAGAGTTCATGCAACTGAGAAGCCTTCATGCTCTGTGTGTGGAAAGAGTTTTGCACATCAAGTAAATTTAAGAAGACATCAGAAGATCCACACCGGTGTGAGAGAGTATGTGTGCTCTGAGTGTGGGAAGACTTTTTTTACATCTACAAGCTTACAACAACACCAGATGATTCACACTGGAGAGAAACCTTATATATGTTCACACTGCAGCATGAGATTTAGTCAGTTGTCACATCTGAAAATACACGAGAGGATTCACACTGGAGTGAAACCGTACAAGTGTTCACACTGTGACAAGAGATTTACTCAGTTGGGAAGCCAGAAAACACATGAGAGGACTCACACTGGAGAGAAACTGTACAAGTGTTCACACTGCGACATGAGATTCATTCAGTCATCACAAATGAAATCACATGAGAGGATTCACACTGGAGAGAAACCGTACATGTGTTCACACTGCGACATGAGATTCAGTCAGTCATCACAAATGAAATCACATGAGAGGATTCACACGGGAGAGAAACCATACAAGTGTTCACACTGCGACAAAAGATTCAATCAGTTAGGAAGCCAGAAAAGACATGAGAGGACTCACACCGGAGAGAGACCGTACAGGTGTTCACACTGCGACATGAGATTCAGTCAGTTAAGAAGCCTGCAAATACATGAGAGGACTCACACTGGAGAGAAACAAGTGAGATTCAGTCAGTCAGAAACATTGAAAAACACACAAGAGTGTCACGTCTGAGAGTAACCTTAACATACAGATATGCAAACTTGCAGTATTGATGGGTTGTTCTGAAACAAATCTTTAATGTGACTCTGCAGTAACGAGTCCTTTCAGAGTGATTCTTTCATTGCTCTGTGTACAGATAGGGGAATAGTTCAAGAGGTCAATAGTTAAATCAATATTTTCATCTGGAAGAGCTCAACTCATTTAGTATTCACGGCACCCAAAATGTGTTAAACCCTGTCAATACACAGTTAAAAGATATTAGAGAATGTTTTGTTCTTTAAGTTTAGGATAATTCATTAATATAGATCGATTAAAATATTCTACAATGGCAGTCCATAGAACCATTTGAGGGAAATGTATGAAATTTCCAAATGAAATGCTGCTGAAAACACAGCAGAAATCTACCATTGATTTACTGTAGTTGTAGTTCTACTGAGTGGTACGGTTCGGTACATTTTTATGGCCATTTCCACTGTTAAAGGGTACCAAAAGGCGAGCTAGACCCACAGCTGAACGCTATTGGTTTATAGAGACACGTCACCAGCGCATACTCAAGCAGAAGAATAAAAACAAAGAAACCGCCATTTTAAAAACACAGCCGAGACATTACACCATAATAATATATACATATAATAACAAGCCATGGTCGACTCAAGCTCAAAAAGACCTCGTCATCGTCTTGATGAACAGCAACAAAGCCAAGAAGAACAAAATCTGCTGTGTCCTGTCCTGTTGTTGTTTTACGAGCCCGTCTAAAGCATGAGCGGTTTCACTTTCTCCAGAGAGTTCATGTGCATCGCCGCTTGTCTATATTAGAAATCAGGTGTGCGGCTGCAGGAGTTAATGTTGAATTTCAGTAAGTAAGTAGGGGATTTTATCCACCCTAAATAAAGCGATTCTCTTCAATCTAGTTAATACCGACTCATTCATAAATTAGTTGCGGCAAAAATGCTGATTACCGATGTAATTGTCCATGAATCTGCTGTATTAGTGATTATAATTACTTATCTATAAATGTTCTGCAGCATAAATAAACCTGCATTGCAGTGTCATGCATTTGATAAAATGACAGAGAAAATGGACATAAGATCATTTTTCAGTGCAGCTAAACACCAAGGACAAAAAGTTTACATATTAAGCAATTTGGCTTTCTGAATTAATCCTTATGAAAACACTAATATCACAATATCAATCACAGGCAAATGAGAAAGAAATGATTGAGGAACAGGCAGAGCAGGGTCAGTCAGATGTACAGTGTCAGGCTGATTTATACTTTTGCATCAAACGCTGACGCATAGCCCTTCGCCGTGGCCGTCGCCGTCACTGACGTGCACCTCTCAAAAAATGTAACTACACGTCGCAACAACGTGTAGCGCAAGCTCTGTGATTGGTCGCCTTGGTAGCGCTGACGTGTCTGGGCGGGACCCAGAGCCGCGCGAATGTCGCGAGCGATTGTTTACAAGTGTGGAGTCCCGTGAAGGAGCTCCGGATGGAAAGTTTTGTTCTGTGTTTACCTCATAGTTAAAGTTGTTGCTCGTCCGCCGGTTCCTGCCTCAAAATGAGCGAGTTTGAGCCACTTGTACATTCAGGAAGTGTTCAGGAAAACAAAACAGCAGTGAAGAAACTCGACAGAGGAACATTAACACCTCACTGCCAACTAGCGTTTTGGAAGTGTTAATGCAGACCGACAGAGACAGCGCGCAGAAGTATAAATGCACAGCTACGCGCGTTGCATGCGCCGTGGGTTACGCCGGTCACTTGACGCAGAAGTATGAACCAGGCTTTAAGGGTGTTGTGCTTTATTGAAGGGATAATGACAATTCTTTTGGGGGTGAACAAGTTTTAAATGATCAGTCAATTTAACAAGTGTAATGTGAACTAGTTATTATGTGTATGGAAAACGTATTTTCCTGCATTGATTCTGCTTCAGGAGTCAGTTGACTGTAAACAACACAACAAACAATGCAATAAATAGTTTTGAATAAAAATTAGCTGTCATAGAACCTGAGAAAAACTTTGAAAATAACTATAATGACGTTGTCTCCATGCTATAATAATATTAATGATGAAACAATTTTTAACTGCGGGGACATGTCTTTATTAGTATAATTTGGCTGTATTATATGTGCCTCTTTCAAAAAAATACTCGAAAGAAGTTTTATATTTATTCCCCCCCCCACTGTTAAATCAGATTTACGCCCATGATTGAAGTGCTTCTCACTAGGGTTCGGTATCGTTTGGTTTTTTTTTTTTTTACCAGTGCTAAATCAATACTTTTAAAATGGTACCGGTGCCAAAACTGTGCCTGAACCGACTTTTTAGCCACAAAATTAATTGACAAAAAAATGTGTGTGTGTGTGTGTGTGTATATATATATATATATATTAATCATTATTATTGAACAATATAAATTTATATTTGTAGTAAGTTTAAAGTAAACATCAATTCATATTTTATTTATTTAAATTGCATTAATATATTTCTTTTGATCATTTGTTCGTTAGCATGAATGCTAGATTTGCATTATGCTATTAACATTACATTAATACTAACCTGTGGAAAGGCTGTCATCAAAATCAGGGAACAGCTTTGGGGCTTGTGACTACTTTTACATGGACATCAGTGATCTGATGATTTGCCTTAATCTGAATAAGACAACAATATGATTCAGGTGTTTACATGAGCGGCTTTTTGAATGTTCCATTGATTCCCAGTTACATGTTATAGCTCATAGATCCAGTAACGTCAGTGCGTCAACAGGCTATAAATGTTTACTTCGCAGTTTGTGTCTGTGGTCCTTTAAGATAATCAAAAATCACAGTTTACGTGGAAGACTTTTGATCAGAGTATTGTCTTAATCATATTAAAATCAGAGTATTGGTGTCCATGTAAATGTACTCACTGAAAGTGTCAGATAATGTCACAAGCTGTCAAAGCCAGTCCATTCCTCACCTTTAAGTTGATTCCATAAGCCCTCACATTTCATAAGTTTGACGTGTTTCCCCCCTTACAACTTTAGTTAAGCATCTGCTGCATGTTGGTGTGTCAGAATCCTTGCTTTTAAATACAGCCATACTGTAGAATGCTTAGTTAAAGCAAATTAGATGAACGCTATCATCAAGAACAAACGCTTGACATCCGTATCCCTCCAAGCTGTTTACAATTAAATATTTAGAGATGGTGTGACACAACATGTACTCATATGTGCCTTTGATGCACCCCTTGATGCTTCACACACCAGACGTGCACATTCGCATGTTATTTAAAATGAAACTATCCAGATGGCGCTCTGTAGCGCGGCAGAAATATGAACAGTCATGAGTCGTGTCTGGGCGTTGCGGACAGCCGCTGACTTGCGATTTCTAAAATGCATGGTGCTGCGCATCGCTGACCGGCGCTTCGTGTGTGCGACCTGCTTTATGTTCTTGTCGCAGCACCACTGGCACCTGAATTAGGCACCGAAACTCACCGGGTTTCGATACCCAACCCTTCTTCTCACATCTTATCCTTTCAGAAACAAACAAACAAGAGAGTGAAGTGTGAAAAACAAAAAAAGAAGCCAAGATTTGTTTTGCCGTGCAGACATCCCTGAGCGTTTATTTTCTGTTTCACTGTGCTTCTCTGTTGCCAACTTAGACTGCCTTCCTGAATTTTCGATCATTATCCAGCAAACAGATTTGGGTTTAATAGACGCCTAATAGACTTCTAAATGTACACAGCTTGGCTAAAACAAGGCTAAACTTGGGCTGATGGTGAAAATCTAGTAGACGTCTAAGAATCCCAAAAAACTAGACTAGTCGTCAAATAGACCGATTATACAGACTTTATATGTGTTGTCAATCATTTCTGTTTATTTGATGACTAGTCTAGTTTTGGCTATTATTAGACGTCTGTTAGAATTTCACTGACAGCCCAAATGTAGCCTTGTTTTAGCCAAGATGACCGTTTCTACATCTATTAGACATCTATTATTCATTCATTATTTTTGTTTCGGCTTAGTCATTTTATTAATCAGAGGTCGCCACAGCGGAATGAACCGCCTTTTCCAGCATATGTTTCACGCAGTGGAAAGAGCAGTGGATGCCCTTTCAGCTGCAACCTATCACTGGGCAACACTCATACACTTATTTACACACATACACTATGGATAATTTTAGCTTACCCGATTTACCCATAGTGCATGTCTTTGGAGTTGTGACGTGACAAAAATAATCAATTGACTACCGAAGGACTTGAAAGACAAAGGGCTAACTGAGATCTCAGAGATTAAGACTAAATGATCCGAGTTTATAAAATGATCTGAACTCTTCATCAATAATGTGAAGAGATTCAGTCAGTGAAAAAACTAAAAACACCATGAAAAGATTCTAACTGAGAGAAACTGCCCGGATAACACATTTAGCGAAACATTTACTATTGTGGAAAGAGTGTTTATATCTGAACATTGAAAAAATACTGGTGTATGAGATCATTGAATGGTGGATTTCTATCTGAATGCTGGTTTTCCATCCATAATGGCTGTTTTATCAGAAAAGTATTCTTAGTCATTATTTCATGTATTGCAGTTCTGTTGACTTTTATTATTAAAACTTCATTTTAAAAACTATTTGTATTAGTCTATTATAATAAAACCAATTTTCTTATAATGTTAAATGATTTCTGCTGCATTATTACATCACATCAGTAAAATATATTAACATTTAAAGTGTTTTCTTTGCTGCATGTCCACCCTGAAGATGTTTACTTATGACACATGATGTCAACTGCTGAAAAGCAGAGATAATTGCTCGTTGTGATACAGATCCACAAAACAAGGTAGGAACACCTCAGTAAAGAGTAGAACTCTAAGAAATACAGGGAGGAAAGAAGAGAAATGAAAGCATCAGTCTACTCTTTTTCAAATTAAATTTGAAATGAGTACAATCTTTTTGACAGTTGGCCCTGCGCGTCCGCCATGTTTGTAGTTTGTTTACACCCCCAAGTATGTAGTACTGATTGATTCGCCTCCAAGATATAATAATATTGTGGGCAAAATTAGCAGTTAAAGTACTTAACATTTCTTACGGAAATAGCCAAAAATACAACAGAACCTCTTCTTCTGGTGTTTTATGGCGGTTTGGCAAACCAACAAACATAGGTGCATTACCGCCACCTACTGATCTGGAGTGTGGATTGTACATAATTGGGGTAGAAAGAAAACACTTATATATACATTAAATGACTATATTAAATTATATATTAAAAAAATAAAAAAAAACTAAATTCTATGCATTATTCCTATATTTCCCAAATATTTAATTAATATCTCATGAATTTTTGATTGTCTAAGCC